TTAAGAAAAAATATATATATATAGTATGCTACTATTGTGTACGACCATGACAAATTTTTTTTATAAAATAATAAAAAATATAATATGCTGCCACTAATTAGGAACGTATACAGATTTTCTACAAAGTACAAAAAAATAAAAATAAAAATAAAAAAAAAATAAAAAATAAAAAACGAAATATAGGATTGGACAAAATATAGATACAACAAATTATAGGCCTAGTAAGGAAAGTGGCTTGTAAGTTGTAACAGAAAGAAAAATCTTCAAGCATTGGACAAAATTAGACTATTTCAAGGGGATTTGGAGGGAGATTGCCCAATATGCCTTTCTGCAAACACACATTTTTTTTTGGTAGATTGTCATGTTAGGATATGGTCATGGAAAAATAAAATATAAATAAATAAATAAAATAGTCAGCTGAGATGGACTTACCTCCGGTAGCGATGAGTTTTTCCACACGGGATACAATGTGTTTGCCGTAAGTGTACTTCTTGAGTGCACTCAAGTGAACCTTAATGCGCGAGAGAATTAACTCCCGGCTCTTGTCATCACACGTCTCGATTACCTTCTGCACGACGTAGTTTCCAAAAGGATCTTTCATCATAGCCTGAAAAAATGCAGCAAATGTGCTTTTATAAGATGCTTGAGAGCAGGAGAAATTACTGAAATATAAAAAATAAAAAAAGGCTTGGTGTAAAGAATCCTTTTCCACCTGTAGTGGTTCATTTTCGTCAGTCGAGCCAAGCATCTCGTTCACCAAAACTTGGCGCTCTTCGGGACCTCCGAAAGTCAAACACTTCTCAATAACATTAGATGCGAATTTCTGCTGACTCATCTTCACGATCTGACCAGCGAGTTTGCCAATGATTGCTGAGCGCTCGTGTGGTTTTCCGTGCTGCACAACATGCTGTACAAAAGAAAAGAAAATGAGGAAAAATATGAAATCCGCACAAAATGTATCGTAAATGATTTGGATGCATTTCATTTCTGAGGCTCGACCAGTAGGGCCCCAAATAGTAACCGAAGTAAATCTATTTTTCATCATTTAATCTCTCATTTGCTCTTTCAGTTTTCAAAAAATTCGAAAAAGCCATAATGCAATCATCAAATGACTTCGAAAGCCATACAAAAAGTGTAGCTAAATAAATACCTGAATGACGTAATTTCCATATTGATCTTGAGCAAGCTTACAGACAGAGCTCATTATTTCACCCATAATCGTTTCTTGGGTTTTTGGATCATCACAGTGCTCAAGAATGCGCTATTAACAAAACAAATAGATAAATAAAAAGCTGATCGTATACATTTTTATTGCATAGCAGAGAATTGGAGAAGTATTCTAACCTGAATTACACGACATCCATAAGTATGTGTGGACAAAGTCACGACTTGTCCAAAGAATGGAGTTGTTATAAACTGAATGCGATCTTGAGGAACACACTCGATGCATTTTTGGATGACATGATTACCATTTTGATCATGAACACATTTCATCACAGACCCATCAAGCTCTGCTACCATCTTAGTCTGCATCTCAATATCAACTACTTCCAAGGCCTGTAATAAACTAATGCCTTCAACATTGTTTTTATAGAAAAGAAGGGTAATGGATATGGAAAAATAAATTAAAAAGAAGAGAGAGAGAGAGAGAGAGAGAGAGAGAGAGAGAGAGAGAGAGAGAGAGAGAGAGACCCCTGAAAACTTAAAAAATAAGTTTGAAGAAGAAACCTTTTGTATAACCCTGCAGCCATACATTTGTAAAGTGAGAGGCAAAACATGACCAATCAGATGCCCTGCTAACTCTT